AAAAAAAAAAAAAAGAAAGCCATGAGAGATATTATTAGCCATGATCTAGTCCAGTATCAATTTATTATTGATAAGAAAAATGGGGATGAAAGGATATGCACAAGCAAGGAGACCAGAAACTAAAATCCAGACTTGTCAGTACTTTCCACTATTATAAAGATGATTAAAATAAGAATTTGAGAGATAGACTGACATAGGCCAAGAAAATGCCTAAACTTGCCTGGATCCACCTACCAGCACAGAACTTTGATCTTCCCTAACAGATTAAGTTGTCAAAAGCTACCTTACTATTCTAACGTTAAGAGCCAAGTGCCTGGACGTTAAATGTTTGTGATACCATAAGTGTCATTAGCATTTAGTTTAACTGGAAATCATAAAATACTGGAAGCCCTAAGAACCCTAACATGAGAGAATGCTTGATTCAAGTCCCAAGGACAGTTTATGACACCAGCACATTGTTGCCTTGAGAGGCACCAAGTTCTCCATTTGGCAGATTATTCCAGTGGAGCTGGACAACTGGAGAAGTTTCCTGGATGGTGAGAGTCTACAATTTAGACACCTAACTGAAGACAACAGAGAAGAGCTGAGAAATGCATACAAACCCTCAGAATCAAACTAAATAGAGAACTCTTGCCAGTAGGAGTTGTTTACTTCCTTGTTTTACAGGTGAAGAAGGAAGCCCTGAAAGATTAAGTGTGTCATCCACTCAAGGTCACTGGTGGACTTATTGACAGATCTGGAAGCTAATGCTCCGTGTTCTTAGGAGAATGCGCTTTCCTTTCTGGCATTTTAAGAAAACCTTAGGGTTCAGTGATTTGTAAAATAAAAAGCTCTACTTAAAGATGTCTATAGGGTGGCCTTGTTCAAAACAAAGTTCCTATGTATGGAATACACACTACAAAAACTAACACTGAGATTTTATAGATAGTAATTCAAAAACGAGATAGCCAAAATCTCCCATCAAAAAGGTATTATAACCCTTTAGCTATTGTTTTATTGACTTGCCAAGAAATATGGTGGATTGGGGGAAAAAACATAGGAGAATACTTCAAAACGATGTCATAAAAAAAAAAAAGAGAAGTGTTTGGTATAATGAAAAAATATACCTAGGGAACACTATGAGCTGCTGCCTTCAAAAGGAGAAGAAAAAGGAACAGACTATTAAAAAAAAAAAAAAATTCAAAGCCCCTCAGGTAAGCATCAGTTCTATGCAGAAAGCTCGATAACCTGCCACAGGATATACTCACAGTGAAGGCTAGAGAGATTAGGATAATTATATGGAAGTGAGGACATTGAGTAACTTTTTGTACAGTATCCAAATTACTGAAACAGAGTGATTTTATTTTCCAAGTCTTAAGCCATACCCACAGGAAACAAGCAAGGCTATTCTACCCCAGCAAAGCGCCTTAGCTAGTCATGCATTCTGCAACAAGTCTCCATGGCAAATTTCCTAACACACACTTCTAAACACAAAGAACTCCTCCTCCAAGCCAATGGTAAGAAATAGGCTTGTGCAACTTCAACTGGAGGATATTCTGCTGCTCCTGGCATCTCCGTAGGAGAGACTCAGAACATTATGGCCACCTTGCTGTTCCAAAACTATGTCTGAATTATCAAAGTAGGTAGAGAACTTCTGGAAGCTCTAAACAGCCTTGGCCATAACCTAGTAAATCCAATTCATTTTTCAGATGAGGAAACTGTCACTAAAAAAAAAAATGTAGAATGACATGCCCAAGGCCACACCATTACTTACTGCCTCCCTGAAGCCACATATCTTAAGACTTAAAAAAGATCTAATCTGGGATGTGGAAACTTGCCACCTGCTTTGGGTTGCAGGTCTGCAGTTCCCAACTTTATGGGGCCCACACACAGACCAAAGGACACGTGTCCACCACAGCATCACGTCACATTTTCACATCATGAAATGCAAATAAGGGTGACCTTAGAACCATCGCTATAGCAATAACCTTGAATCCTTCTGATAATGTAAACGGTAAGATCTTAATACCAGTCAGTAAGGTTACTTCCTTTAAAACACCTCAGGGTCAGTTGTGGTAAATCAGTGCATTGTGGCACAGGATTGGAACCGCTGTTGCAAAATATAAATAATCACTACAGGTGCAGCAAATGGTGTGAACATGGGAACAGTCAACAAAAATGAGGATTCAATCTGCCTCTGCCCCCAGACTCGGACAGAGCAGCTTTCAGCAGGCAAAAGGCACTGTTGGAGTGAACAAGTTTAAACAAGCCTGCAGGAGAGGAAGCAGGTATCCTCTCTGGGGCCTTCTCAGATCTGGACAAAAGACTAGATGGGAGAATGCTGAATATGGCAATCTGTGTGGGAACATCTCATTTCTAAACCCCAGTTCTGCCCCTCTTATATTTACTGCAACCTTTGACGCAGATTCTTCATATCAGGCTCTCTAGACTCCAAGATGAGTGAAAGAAAGTTTAGTTCTGTCAGCCTTGGACTCTCCAGTGAGGGGTGTATCCTGGGAGAGGTAAAGGTAATATGCCAAAGATACTATACCACAAAAATAAAAACTTTGATTCACCTTTTTCATCCCTATTTTTGTGTTTGTTATTTGGGTGTAAGGCCCTGGTATTCATACTCCAGATTAGGAACTGGTGGTTTAGGACTGTGGATGTAGGCATAAATCTTTAACCATGGCTCACTCTAGCAAGGATGGGAGAGCAAATCAGAAGTACTCAAAAAAGACCCAGAGTGATCTCCAGGCTTCTTCTGGACAGCCAGCCACTGACAATCTAATCCCACAGTGCCTACCCCGCCTCTGAAAGTCCACAGGGCTTGTGAGCTAGTTTCTGAAAATGCAAATACACTGCCCTTGGAATGCCCTTTGATAGGTATAATACACACTTTTGAGGGTGAAATGAAGGATATTAGGGTGAAATAAAGAGTTTTCAGGGTGCATAATCTACTTGTAGGTCACAAAAGGAAGCCAGGTATTTTGTATAATACACATTTTGAGGGTGAAATGATGGAATATTAGGGTGAAATAAAGTTTTCAGGGTGCATAGTCTATCTGTAGGTCACAAAAGGAAGCCAGGCATTCCCCATCGCAAACCTGGTTCAGTAGATGCTGAGATGATGCTAGTTTGGGCAATGGAATCTGGACCGGTGCCCATTCTTTTTTCTGTTCCCCAAAGCATGAGCAGCAACTCCTGTAAGGCTCAAGGTTGGGAATATAGCATTTCACTACTTCTGGTGAGTTCTAAAGGAAGATGCCCCATGTTCCACAGAGGAACGTGCTCTCATAAAAATGGGTTATTTCTTTGTGGTTTTAGGTACTAATGTAAAACAGCCCTTTTCCTTATAGGGCAAGTCTACTTATTAAAACTTGAGGGCTGTGCTAAACAAGCTCTTTCCAACTGGTTAAAGTAATAAAAGCATGCTTTTCTATATCAGAATAGCTTGACTTAAGTTTCAGGTAGACACCTCCCCTGTGTGAATTCCCTAGAAGTTTTAAGAGGACACGTAGAAAGTAAGAGACCCAGATCCTCTACCCAGGTTTCTTCATTCCTTCACTTCCTTCCACTTCCACTCCCCTTTCCCACTTAATGCACCTTGGGGGTCAAAAATAGTAAATTTCAGTATACTGAACGATATAAACTGGGGGTAGGGGTTGGGGAGGGGGAAGTGAACTGCAGCATGAGGAGTCTGGACGCCAATGAAAGAAAGATTGCAAGGCCAAAGGAAACCTCAGGGGCAGGTGACAAGCAGAACGCCTCCCACCACCCACCTGGAAACAGCAATGTTCTCCACCTGCAGGGAAAGCATTTTTCTCCACAGGCTCTGTTACACCTTTAAAACTGTTTATTCCTGAGAGGTAACTTTCAGTAGCTATAAGGTAAAAGGAAATTCCCTTTACCCAAGGGCCTCTCCGAAGGCTTTTTCCTCTCCAACAGTTCTTTCATTGCCTTTGATTTAATCATCATTCAGATGGCCACACAGCACCAGAAGGAAGAACAAGAGCATATACCAAGCCTTGTACTAAATACATATTTTTTCTTTATTGGTAGCATTTGCCAACTCCAATTCCAACAACTATTTCAGATTCTTCTTCTTTCCTGAAGGGACTGTCTAAACTCTCAGGTACCTGTTTGAGCAACAAGATTCTGGAAGTCAGAACCAGCTCCAACACTAGCCAGCTCAAAAGCAAATTTCCGCTGGTTAAGGTAAGGCAGAAAATTCCTGCCCACCTTTCTCCCTGGGCAGAGCATACGCTCTGTAACTTTGAATTTCTTCCAGCATCCTCAAATTCTGGTCAGCATTCCTTCTTTAAAAGGCCTTGTTGGGTAAGAAGAGTATTTTCACTAAGAGAAACCTGTAATTTCCCTCCCCCCTCCCTTGTTTTGCCGGCTTTCTTGCGTGCCCCTGAAGCCTGGGCGTTAGCTGGTGAGTCCAGGGAGGCACTGGACCGAGTTGCCAGATCGCTGTACCGGGATAGGCCCGTGCTTTTTCCTGATTAAGGTACAGGTGTTTCTTCTCCCCACATGCTGGAACCCAGAAAGCTCCAGGTGCTTCCCCATGAAACGAACGTGCCTTGGTGTGCAGGCGCCCTCACCCCCTCACCCCACCCCCTACCTCCCCACCCCCGGCCAGTTGCAAAGGTCTTGCCAAGTGAGATGGGGGCCCGCGTGAGAAGGGAAGGTCGCGTATAAAGGCTGCCAGGGACAAACACTTCCAGATTCACACTCTTCCTTGGCCGAACACCCATTTGGGAGTTGGGGGGTGGGAGACGCGCTGGGTTAGTGCCCCCCGAGTCTAGAGAAAAGAGCGACTCACGGGTCTGACTCAGAGTGGCAAAGTTTGGCAAGCCCGCGGCGCGGGAGTGGGTACCAAGCACCCAGACACACAGGTGACCGGCGCCCCCCTCCTCGCGGCACTGGGGGTTGGGGAAGGCTTGACCACCGGCTCCGCCCCCCTCCACTTCCCCTCCGCGCCCCCCACCCGCCGACCCCGCGCCGCCCGCACTCACAGCGCAAGGGTGAAGGCGCTCAGCCCCTCAGGCACGGCAGTCAGCCCCTTCCCGGAGCAGTCCACCCGACGGTCGCCGTCGCAGCTGCAGGGCGCCGCGCAGAG